AAAAAAAAAAAAAAACTTCATTACACACATAAGAAGGGGTAGGGGAACAGAAAAACATTTTTTTTGTTTATAAATACTTCATGGCCTTAAATGAGACTAGGAAATACCGATGAAGAATAAGCAAAGCAAAGCCAAGCCTCTGGACTTCGGTTATGTGAGATGATTCTGTTAGGACAGAAGAAAAAGCCACCCCACAGGACAGAAAAGAGCAGCACAGATATCATTTTAAAAAGGAAGTCCTACAAGCCGAGAGATCCCATGTTCATAATCCTATTCAATTTTGAAAAGACTGTAACATTTTGTTCATTAGCTGAGGTCTCTTCAAAGGTACTTTCTCGTCCTCTGTGAGTGAAAGACCCCTCTAATCACACAGATGGGTACCGGGTACCGTCAGGGCGCTACCTAGGCGGCTTCCCGCGTCACCGGCCACCCGCGGCTGCTCTGCTAGTGCCTGTGCTGCAGGTCTTCCTGCGGCCGCGGAGGGGCGCTCATCTGCAGCACAGGCTTCCCAGGGCAATTCCACACCTGCTGCCGTGCGCGGGGCTACATCTTCCTAGAACTCGTTCCAGCACTCTTCCAACAGATGCGCACGCTGCTTCTCCTTCGGGGAAACAGCACATGGAGTCCAAGCACTCGATACTTGAATTTGTTTCAGTAAGCTGGAGGAAGCGAAGCAGAGAAACATCAGTTATTTATAGATCTGGACTTCCAAAAAGCACTGACAAAATGACAACGAACACTTTAACACCAACAGAAATGTATACACACATACACGTTTTTCTATAATATGGAAGTGCAGAAAAGGCTTTATAGAGAATGGCCATACATTTAAAAGCTTTCTGTCCTAAATCAGAGGTCTGATTATATAAAAACAAGTAATAACTGCATGGGATTTTAATATTTTATTTTAGTAGTTTACTAAGGTCCAATAATTGACATCAACCACTCAGAAACTTACTTTAGTTATTACTGGCATTTTCGGTTAGGTGGAACACCCCTGCAGTGTGTGTGTGTGTGTGTGTGTGTGTGTGTGTGTGTGTGGCCAGAGAGACAGACAGCAGAGGAGGGAGGGGAAGGCAGCCCCCTGGGGAAGGGTCACGCCTAACGCCTTCTCCCTCCTTTCAGGGTTCTGCACACCCGCACCCAGTGTGTTCTCGGCAGGAACTCCAACCACATAGCCATGTGGGATCTGGCTGCCTTAACCAGGCCATGGAGTCAGCCTGTGCTCCTGCAGTTTTACTTTAACACATCCGGCAAACAGCTGAGCTCGGTGGTGTGCACCTGTAATCCGCTACTTGGGGGTTGAGGCAGGAGGCTGCAAATCTGCAAATCCGAGTCCTGCTTAGGCAACATAACAAGACCCTCTCTCTTAAAAAAACACAAAACAAAACAGTCTAGCCGTCACGAGAGCGGAACATAAACTGCCTTGGAGAGTGCATGGCAATAACCACACAGGACCTAGCTCCAGTACTGACTAATAATGATGACATTAATAGCAAACACTTCATGAAGGGATTACTATATACGGTTTGAAACATTCTACTTACATCTACTTAACTAACCTTAAGTTGATAAACTGTTAAGTGTCAACCATGCTTATAATCAGTTTATCCTGTGCTTAACTGGTGATTCAAGGATTAAAATTTGTTACAGATAGGACTGTTAAGATTTAAAATTGAAATAATTTCTGAAAGTATGGAAGATTTATATTAATTCGGGTATCAAGACAGCCCAGCAAGATAACTGAATCCCACAGTACTAACACTTTCTAATAGTGGTTAATGAGGAGAAATGGTATGAACACACAGTCAATCAATGAGTCCCAACCTTGGTTTGGCTAGCCAAGGGTGCTCCTAGATTTCTCTACGGTTATCACTTAAAAAAAGGAGAAACACTTGTTTTACTTTCATTCACATATGTAACACCCTACATAACAAATATTTTGAAGCTATAGAGGAAGATCAATAATATTAAGTCGTTAGAGGGTTGCACTTCCATAAAGGTGGGAATCACCGTGGATCAGGTGCAGGCATGGCGACAGGGCGTTTGTGAGACACGATGGACAGACAGATGTGGTGGAGCGTGGAGTGACCTGCGTTCTGCACGAGAGCAGCAGGTGAGGTCCCGCAGGGCCCATGCGCAGTGAGCCTCCTGTCACCCACAGAGAAGCCTGAACGCACCAGTGTCCTAGGGCCCCTCAGCACCGAGACAGGGCCAACCTGGCTTCTCACCCCGATGCCCTTGGCTAAGCACTGCCCAGGGCACTGTTTCTTGAGCTGTGTTCTGTGAGATGTGTATAGACAGTTCATAACAAACAAGATTCTGTGGTCAAGTAAGTTTAGGGAAACGAATTCAATGAAACTCTAAACAGACTTCTTGCTAAGCCAAGGTTGTCAGGGAGTCAGGGTGCACAGTCAGTCTTCAGGGAGGGAAGCCTGCCTTAGGATTCTCCAACCTATTTTCCAGTGAGCTTTCCCTCCACCGCAGGTGATTAGGGGTGTCCCTGTTCAGGGCAGCCTGGGAAGTGCTGGACTAGGCAATAGGAGGCCACCAGGTTCCCAGTCTCTTCCTAGGGCCCCTGCCCTCTGTTCCTTAGCCTCACCCTCACCCCCGGTGCTCACTAATGCACACCCCCTGGGAGCTTGCCAGCCCTAAGCTGCCCTCCCGCCCCACTTCCCAGGGTAGCCTCCAATACTGGCATCAGGGCATGTGACAGGGCCTGTCACCAGTCTGGGTCACAACCCTGACCCCTCTACCAAAGTCCTGTTAAATCCTGTCATCTCGATGAGGCTTTCCTAACTAACCTCTCCAACGATTAGTAATCTTTCCTCTGGATTTTTTTTTCCTTTTTTTGGAGAGGTTTTTTTCGCTATAGGGCGTGTGTGTTCGCCAGACAGACAGAGAGAGACATAGAGACAGAAAGCGAGAAATTACCCCCCCCCCAGGGGGGATGGTCACGCCGCAATCCCTTCTCCTCCATTCTCCTCTCGGGATCTTGGGCACGCACGCACATGCGCCTGGCGTGAGTTTTAAGCCACCGGGTCCGGGACGTGAACCATGGTCGACTACATGGGAGTCCAGCGACATAGCCATTACGCTAACTGCTGGTTCCCTCCTCTGGATTCTAATCTGCTACTTCTTTCACTGAAATGGCAAAAGCACTTAAATTCAACTTAGATTTATTAATTTTTTCCTATACGGCACGTGCTCTCACCAGAGACAGAAAGTGAGAACTCACCCCCCAGAAAGATGCCCACACCTTCTCCTCCACTCTCCTCTCTGGACTTTGGGCATGCACATACGTGCACCTGGCATGACTTCCAAGTCGCCGGGTCCAGGACTCAAAAACCACGCAATTGGCCACGTGGAGGCCCAGCGCGCCGTGACCACACCACCTGCAGGCCCCACAACTTCTGTGTATTGAGCCATCCCCATAGGGAGGGCTCCCCCCTCAATCTGGTGAGGTAAGGCAAAAAAATGGTGGGCACGGAGGCGCGTCGGGACCACAGCTGTGGGCAGTTCCCGAGGAATGCTTGCGAGGCTGTGCCGGCTTCACGAACGCCCCACTGGGGACTCCCAACTCCCTGCGGGACAGGCTCCACAGCCACCCCCACTTTACAGACAGGGACACAGAGGCTACGAATCTGTTCAAGGTTATCCCTTGAATGGGCCTTGCGCCTCGGCTTCCTCAATCCCAGGGCCCACTGTGCTGTCCCCTCGGCTCCGGCCGGAGGCAGCCTGCCACAGCGTGAGCAGGGAGGCGCAGCCCCAGGTGTCGGTGGTGGCACTGGAAGGGTGTGAATGCCAGGTGGAAGCCTGGAGGAAAAGATGGCGCCTGAAAGACATCTCCCAGGATGGGTGGATCTCAACACGGCTCAAGGAGAGCAGTGAGCGGGGGCAGAGGGTGGGGTGGTTCACACGTGCTGGCCCGGTGTTGGGTGGCTGCTAGCACTGCCCTCTGGCAGTGTCGGGGTGGCTGCTAGCACTGCCCTCTGGCAGTGTCGGGGTGGTGGCTAGCACTGCCCTCTGGCAGTGTCGGGTGGCTGCTAGCACTGCCGTCTGGCCGAGCCATCGGCGCCTCACGGGGTGCAGACGCGAGCTGGTGTCCGCAGTTACTGCCGGGAAGGTGAGCAGTCCGGGCTGGGACAGTGAGTGCTGAGACAACGTAATGACTGGACAACACGTTTTGTAACACTTGAATCCAGTAACCTTAAATCAGATTGATTTATTGATTTTATTGATTCAGGGTGTTTGTTGACTTGTTTCAATTTTGCTACAGGGCACGTGCACTGACTGGTGGGAGAATGAGAGCACCCCCTGGGGGATGGCCGCACTGCAAACCCTTCTCCGGTCTCCTCTAGGGCTTCTGGGGACAGACGCCAGAGCCCCGCGCCTGTCAAGCCCCTGGAGCCTGGACCTGAATCACGCGGCTGACCATGTGGGATCCACCCGCCTAAACACCATGCCAGAGGTGGCTGGTGTTATGTGTCTCTTAAATGTCATTTTACCGCTAATTTATTTTTATTTTATTGGAAGCATTGGTCCATGCTGTAGTGGAAATCAAAAACAAGAGAACAATCCTTTACCACATGTATTTGGGGGGCCCTGAACCAGACCAGAAGTGGGAAAGAGCAAGGATCTCGGCTCTGGTGCCTCACGGTCTCTGTGCTCTGCTCTGGTCTCGGGGACCGGACAGGGGCCTCACTGAGGGGACACAGAGGGCCGCGAGCACAGCGGCGCGTGTGTGCAGAACACCGCCTGAGCCGGACCTGACCTTAGTGACCATCTTGTGTTGTATCCACCTCCTTACACTTCCAGACCTAAAGACGGTACTCAACGTGGACAGCCCAGCAAAAGGGGTAAATACCTCGAAATGTTAAAAAATTGAAAACTTAAGATCACTTTTTGTTCATCTTTTTTTCCGAGGGGGATGAACCCCAGCTGGTTGAAAATGCTGAGTTGGCAGTTTCCGTAAAGCTCAGGATACAAACACGCCCCCCCCCCCTCTCCAGCCCGCCCCCCCCCCCCCCCCCCCCCCGCC